GGGGAGATGTGGAGGACCGCGCGGGTGGGGTAGCGGAGGAGGTGGAGGGGGAGGGGGGGGGGGCGGGCACCGGGCTGGCCCGCCCTCCGCCTCCCGGCCGCGACCGCCTCCGAGCGAGCGCTGTCACCGCGCAGGAGACGGGGCGGAAACTTGCGTCCCGCGCCCCCGAGCGTGGGCCCAGGCGCTCTGTGGCTACCCCAGCCGCGGGGTCCTCCACATCTCCCCAGCCGGCGAGACTTCCGAGCCCCGAGAGTTGGACTAGATGGGTGACTGTGGTCTAGGGACCGTGACCTATGGGTGACTGCGAGTGAAGGGAGAGGAGAGTCAACAGAGGACTCCATGCGAGGGCAAAGGGCAGTGCCCAAAAAGAAAGCTAGCGAAGGGGACAGGCCCTGGTCGGAGAGTGGAGGTCGAGGGACCTCCGCGCCTCCGACGGCGGAGACGATGCTGCCAGAAGGTTGCGGAAAACCTAGTGCCAGGGTCGCCCCGAGAGGAGCCTCCTGCGCGCGCTCAGGCAGGGCCCCCGTTGACAACAGCCAGCACCCCTCGCGCGCACCTCGGACAAGCTCCGCAACCAGCCGCTGTTCCGGGAGGCACCCCTTGGCCACCATGTCCCCTCGGTTCCTTCGAGGATACGCCTCCCCACTTGCCGTCCCTAACGTCTGGAGGGGATGGAGGGGCGTGACCACAGGAGGCGAACTACAGGGGTGCCACCCTGCGATTGCTTGACAAAGCAAAGGCTGCACCGTGTTTAGGAAGATTGGGGGAAGCGTTCTCGGCACGCCGCGAGACGACAAAAGTTTTGTTTTACTTCTTTTTAATTGGGGAATCCATTATCTAAGCCTCAGGATTTTGGGATTGAGGAGACGTGGAGGAGTATTATCGAAGAGAATCCCCTTTAAATGTAGCTTGGTTTTTTAACTCTTTGGAAAAGCAACGTCTTTTTCCATTTAAGTATAATTAGTTGAAAGAAATGAGCAACATTTGTTTGCTTAACGGAAGTTATCAAAATATGACAGGAATACGTTTCCTTATTTTAACTCTTATGAAAGGTCACTTGTCATAGACAATAATAGTGTTTATTGAACAGTAACGACTTGGCACTGCGTTAAGTGATTCACACACACTCCAGTTTTAATCCTCAGACCTTGCAAAGTAAGTGCTATTTTTATACTTTATAAAACTTTAAAGCCTAAAGAAACATTTTTTGGTAGGGTCACACAGTAAGCAAGGTGGCAAAGATTTGAGCCCAAGTCCATTAATTGCAAAACACGTGCTTTTTAATCGTGTTTTCAAGATCCAATTTATTTGGACAAAGAAAAAGAAAAGTATGTCTGCTTGGCTATGGCTAGATAATGTTTGTAAAGCTATGATCAACGTTAGCATTAGGGAGTGTAATCAGAAGGAGGAGATCTACAATGGGATCCTTCCACTTTCTAATTTAGGACTGTGTCTAGTGTTTGGAATGTTTGTTTTGACCACATGTTAACAGTAAATTTTAAAGACTTTTTTAAATTAGCTAGAATAACTAAATTATATTCCCTGAAGACTCAAAAGGGTGCACCAGCTTGGGAACAGAACCAGGAAATGGAAGGTGTTCTTATGATAGGTCTTCCTCTACTCTTAGACCATAATATACTTGCAGTGAGGGTGTGCTCCTCTGAGGATTGTCCCCATTCCGAGACTTAGATTTCTTCTCCTGTCCTGAGTTAAAAGTTAAGACTTTTCAGCTTTGGCTGAAGTCCAGAATCCATCAGCGCTCAGTGGCAACAGAATTAACACTTTAAAAAACTGCCCTTGATGTCTGTGCAAACAAATGACTCCCTACTGCATCGCTGTCTTACTCAACACAACTTCTTACTGCATGCTCAAGACACATGACTGTTGCTAAAAAATAAAACAAACTAAAAAAAAAAAAATCTTACAGTAGCATAATGAGTTCCATGTCCAGTTCTGAGTTATTCCAGTTCAACCTGGGGGAATCATTTAACTTTTGCTTTCTAAAACAGTGTCTGGACTTCACACCAATGTTGTAGCTATGGTAGTTATTCATTTGTTTTTATATTTTTAAATTTGTATTCTTAGAACCAGCCTTATTATCTATACATCTTGACTTAGAGCTATCTTAAGTAACAATCTCTCCTGTATGTATCAACACATACTGAACAGTGATTTCTGGGTTGCAAAAGACTATTACTTTTGTATCTCTCTATGAAGTCTTTGTGCATAAGCTCAACAAACAGACAAGTATTACTATGTTCTGTTTATACAAAACATAGTACATGGCCTTGTTCATATACTTACCTTTTCATTGACTAGGCTGTTACTAGGACCCAGGGCACACCACCCCCAGCCCCTGTGATTCCCTCCAGTGACACTTGGAATCACATAGAGTACCAAGTTTCAAATGTTTTTTATTTATTTGTTTATTTTGGGGGGGAAAGGGAGTTTAAGGCAGGATTTCTCTGTAGCTTTACATCCTGTCCTGGAACTAGCTCTTGTAGACCATGCTGGCCTTGAACTCACAGAGATCCACCTGCCTCTGCCTCCCCAGTGCTGGGATTAAAGGCCTGCACTACAGCCCAGCGTTTTTTCTTTATGTAGATATCTCTACGATAAGGTTTATCTATTAGGCAGTAAGACATTAATATAATAAAACTGATAACTATGTTATAATCAATGTTATATAAATTCTTGTAGGATATCTCAGACACACAAATCTGTAATTTCATCATTTTGTTTAAAGACAACATAGATTTCTTGATAGCCAGGAAGACTTATATATGGGTAGAATACATAATGAAGATAGTCAGCACAAAGAAATGGTTTGGTTCAAAGGGGAGCAGATGAAGACATTTTGAAATTTTGTCATGATAGAATGGCGAGCAATGTAAAATTTGTAAGTTACGTTTTATGACATTTTTTATTTAATGTTTTCAGATCATACTTGATTATGGATTAGTGAAGCGACAGAAAAAAAAAACAAGGGACCTACTGCATCTGTCCCTGTACATACTTCATATGCCAATGGCTAAATCATAAAACGTTCTTATTAAAAAAAAAGATTTTCCAGATTTTGAAGAATCAGATTTCTGAGACCTCAGAAATAATTATTAGAGCTAACTACAGTCAAGTAGACATGATGTCACATGTTTATAATTCTAGAGAGGTAGAGTCCCTAGGATGCGTTCAAAGCCTTGGCTACATGGAAAGTTTGAAACCAACCTGGGCTACACAAGGCCCTTTCCCAATGAAACATACATTTCTAAAAGCTAGCTATAATTATGAGTGAATCATCACTGTGACCGTGTAAAATTAAAAGGCCAAAAAGGCAGTAAATAATCTGACTCAATGACACGGAGGAAGAGGGAAGCAGAGATACAGGAAGCGTGTAGATTGAGAGAACAACCCAATAAGAAAAAAGTTAGTGTGCCATAAAGAGGAAGGAAGTCATTGAAATTTAGTAGAAGCAAAAAGTTGACAGTCCATGGGTGAATGAAAAAAGAAAGATTCCCATACTCCCCCCAAATAGCAGCAGAATCATGAATGCAACATAAAACAGCAAATAAGTTTAAAAAAAAGTAAATTATCCATTTAACGGATTCACTAAGAAAATCAGTAGTGTAAAACGAGCGTTTCTTTTTTAAGTATAGATAATGTATGTTGTTGGGAAAGTGGCCTGCATGTGCCCCGGCAAGTGTGTGGAGGTCAAGGAGCACTTGGCTTCAGGCAGTCGGTTCTCTCCTTATGCCACTTGATCCCAGGGATTGAGTTCAGATCACAGGCTTGATAGCAAGAACATTTCCCAACAGAGCCATCTTGCTGGTTCTGTTATTTAGATTTTTTTCTGTGTATGATATGTGTGCATATATTAATGTTTTCACATGGGTGAGGGTGGGCAGGTGTGGGAAATGCCACATTTGGCATGGGGAGCTTTGCTTAATTGCTCAAACACACTCAACCTTGTTCATTGAACCCAGAACTCACATGAATGTCTAGTAGAGCTAGCGGGTTTGCTCCAGGGGAACACCTGGCTCAGCCTTACAAGTGCAAGAATCACAGGTGGCCCAGCACGTGTACCTGATATTTCTATGAGTCCTTGGGATCCAAATTCCAGTCTCCACACTTAAAGCAGACAACGTTAACCACTGAGCCATCCATCTCCTTAGCACCTGTGATATGGGCCTTTAAAAAAATTAAACAAACAAACAAACAAAAAAACCACCTGGTCTCACTTACCCAGGCTCTGGTCTCGAACTAACTGAAAATCCTCGCTCAGCCTCCCAAAATCCGGGATTATATGCATACACCACCACACCTAGCAAATACTTCTACTTTTGTTTGCCTTCACTTCCACTTCCGTGTTCAGCTTTCAAGGTACTCACCTTTTCCATACATAAGATGAAAGATTCTTTACTATCTTGCATTAGCTTCTTAGCATACATCATATTGTGATGAGGGTGAAATATAATTGCAAGAGGCTACATGAGGTAAGTGAATAATCATGAAATAAAGGCTAATAAAATTAAAAATGAGTCGACTACTTATTCTGTGGTCATAAAGTTAACAAACACAGTTTTGTTTGTTGATTTTTGCTTTTTCGAGACAGGGTTTCTGTGTAGTTTTGGAGCATATCCTGGAACTTGCTCTGTTGACCAGGCTGGCCTCGAACTCAGAGATCTGCCTGCCTCTGTGTCCTGAGTACTGGGATTAAATGCGTGTGCTACCACCATCTGGCAGAACACAATTTCTTTATGGTACAATTGTCAGCAACTCTAAACAGTCTAAAGAAGTGAATTTTGTCTGTTTTTTTTATGCAGACCTAACATTTTTATTAGATTTATAAATCTATGACTATCATAAATTTATCTGTGTTTTTGTACATTCTCAAATTATAAAATCAAAAACTTACTCTTTAAAAAATATAAGTTTGGGCTGGAAAAGTGGCTCAGAGGTTAGGAGAACTGACTGCTGTACCGGAGGTCCTGAGTTCAATTCCAGCACCCACATGATGGCTCCCACCCATTATAATGAGATCTGGTGCCCAGAACACTATATAAATATATATGTTCGGGAGTGGTGGTAAACACCTTTAATGACAGCACTCAGGAAGCAGAGGTAGGTGGGTTTCTGAGTTCAAGGCCACCGTGAGTCTGCAGAGTGAATTCTAGGCTAGCCAAGGCTAAGATAATGTCTCTAAAATAAATAAATACATAAACAGGCTGGGTGTGGTACTGGTGCACACTTGTAATCCCAATGCTACAGGTGGAGGCGGGAAAATCAAGTGTTCAAGGGCAGTTACACACCCAGTTACAACTGTGACCTTATCTCAAAAACCCCCAAAACAGGTTCCAGAGCCACAGAGAAACACTGCCTCAAAAACAAAACAAAACAAAAAATATAACCACAGGGATACAAAAATAAGAAATAGACAAAGTTAGACTTCAATTTGATTACTGAATAAAAACATTTAACCAAATATTTGATTTCTTCAAAACCCTCAAATATTGCCAACATGAGTAAATGTTTAATGAGCGAAGCATATTCCCTACATTCTTTTATTTTGTTTTGCTTGGTTTTTTTGTTTGTTTGTTTGTTTTTCGAGACAGAGTTTCTCTGAATAACAGCCCTAGC